TGTTGTTTAATTGCTAATATATTTATGATCCACGTCACATATTCAGTTTTGGCGGCATTTCTTACAATTTGTCAAAAGGTCTTCTGATCAGGGCTCTATAAATAAATAACTACGGCAGATATGTAATATTTAATGCAGCCGAACCGTGTATTACAATGCCGTTATGTGATGACTTCCAAAGAGAAAAGCAAGAACACTCGGAATAAAGTATTATTTTATTTTTTAAAAATGTTTTCTGATTTCATATCGCATAAACACCATATCCCGACGTGTATTGCGGCTAAAACATCCAGGATTATGGGTGTAGTTCGATGTTTTAGCCTATCATAACCTCTGAAAAAAAGAAATGTGTCTCTCAGAATCGAAAGTGAAAAACCTATGGGAAAAACACAAAAGCATTGTACACAATTTAAACCAATACATGTTGTATAATTAACAAGGATAAACTGATGTTTTTTTGTGGATGAGTACTGCAGATATCACTTTTAAATCATTTGATCATTGGTTTTATGATGAAAACTTCGAGACCGGAAATACTGTTTTCACCCCATGAGGGTTGACGCTAACTTTACATGGAAGCTGCCGCATATACACGTTCTCCTGGCGAAACCTCAAATCATCTTCGTAATATCTATCAAACTATAGATCCTACACATCCACTGGATGTGGATTCTAAAAGTACAATATACACTTCTCGCTAGAAATCTAATCAAAAAGCGTTTTAATGGCCAAACTATCCTACAACTTAGGATTTTCCAGAGTGTGTTATTTGTGAATAAACGACCCTCTGTAATGTTTGCAATCAATGGGAGCACTAGAGGTCGAAAACTCTAAAACGTGATTATACTGTAGGTCGTATTAAGCGCTTGAACAAACGACCTATTTGGTCGTATGAGTTGGAGGACTTGTTGAAAAAAAAGCAAGCAAGTATATAAAGGGAACTGGCTCTCCTGTTGCTGGACTTTGATTTATCTATGAAAAATGGTGGAATGAAAGGAAACATGGTGGAGGCAAATGGAAACAACCAACTTGTGTGACGGCTGTGTTGAGAAATAAAATTGTCTCTGCCTTAAAAGGGAAGTGATTGTTTCTGACAGGGCACATTCTCTCAGGCTCAAAAAGAGGCAGAGTGCGCAACAGCTTGACTTTCACAGAAGTGAGAGGTTTTTTTGGTGGGCCGCAGAAAGCGGATTGCCGACTTGAAGGAGATTTCAACAAGAGATGACAGGTTGGCCACTGGGAACACTTTTATCCGAGTCGCAGAATGCCACCAATAAATGCTTTAAATGCTAATGGACATTAGTTCAGATTAACGGACATAAAGTGCTCTGATTACATTGTGTCAGAATTTACATTTTTATTGCTGTTGTCCATTTTAATCTACCTCCACAAACCCACTCGGAGGCAAAAGGAAGTATTTGCTTTGCTGATTTGGAAAAATTCACAAAGGAAAACAAATATTTTAGTTTGTATGCAGACAAGATCATTCTTGAGTAGCTCTCACATGTGATACTATAGTTGTCACAGCCATAACAATGCCATTCAATGTTTTTCCCACACGTCTCCTCTCTGGCAGAGGTTTTATTAGAAGACATCATTCCCAATTTATGGGAGCAAGAGCTT